TCTATTTTAACTATAAAAAAAATAGTAATTAGTAAGATACAAGAGTTACACATCAAATCAATACCTAAGTATTATTCATCAAATATATAATGGGAATCAAACCTTTAACTTTAGATAAAATAAAATATATATAATTATTTAGATACTAACATGTCAATAGATATTTTGAAAAAAAAAAGTCAATAGATATCTTGTACTGATTACTATTATGTTTTTAACAAGTAAAATGGATAAATGCATAAAAGAAGAGAGAAGAGATATTTAAAACAAAAAAAAAAAAGTTGTCAATTTTTAAACAATAGTCTTATGTCTTATCTAGATCGACAGTCGCAGTCCAAGATCATTTGTGTGAGTGTGGCAGATTTGAAAACCAAGTATACAAGTAAAAATAAACTAGTCATTGGAAACTTGTAATTATTTTCAAACCAACCACTTTTTGGAGATTTTTCAAAAACCAACTTAGATATGAAAAAGAATGTCTAAACAAAATTCTTTATATAACAGAAATATTTCATATAGAAAATTTCGCATGAAAATAAATATTTTTCTTTTAGCTCCAGTGGATAAGTTAATCCAAACAAACAAAAAGAGAAAAAAAAAAAAGCAGCAACAACAAATATAGAGTGAGGATAAAACCTACAACTTGAAATCTAGTAAGTATTCTATTCACTAAGTTACGGTGCCAATTTAATTTTTATATATATAATAAATATGATATGTATATTGGCTTTAAGGTAAAAAAAGGGTCCACTTTTGGGCTTCAGAGATCCCCATCCCACGGGATCAAGAGAGAGGTGAAAGCCATATTATGGCTTTGAGCGTAGCCCGGTCCAATAGATCGCCAAGAAAGGACCATGCGGAAATTATATAGACCGGCCCAACTAAGTATATTAACATATATATATATATATAAAGATAAAGATATATATATTTTGGAAGAGAACATATATCGTCGATAATGCATAGAAAATTATATGTATATATTATCAGAAATCAGAAATTGTAAATATGGCTACTCCAATAATTATTTCATCACATATTCCAAATAGTTTATTAACAGTTTTAACTATATTTGAAATTACAAGGTTAAACGACATTTTTTAATTTAATGATTCATCTTTTGTTTTGCCGATTCACTTCAGTCATATAATATAAATCTTTTTCCTATATCCTTTTATAAATTTTTATGTAAGAAAAGTTATTTGAGAGGTTGAATCAATGCGTGGACATTAAAATTTAGGGCCAATTGTTCAACTGACTTACACAATGTTGATGAAAAATTTGTCTAAGGACGGATTTAATTCAGACTCTCAAATAAAGTGGTTGAAAAAAATGACGAAATAAATAGTTAAACTTGATCCAGTTTTAGATGTCTGCTAGTAAGCATTTATTTTATTTACTCTTGATATCATCCCTACATTTTTATAACTCTTCATTTTTTTTAACAAAAAAAATTTCATTTTCTATATTTATCTCCCAAATTTCACCAAATTTTTAGTGGTGGTTAATCAAACACAATAATGATCAAATACTGTTCTAGAGTGTTTTGATGCAAATGTGATGATGTTTGAACCCAACACAATAATGATCAAATTAACATTCTTGTCTAAAGTTCTTTTTGTCTTTTTT